ACCCCCCCCCCCCCACACACACACACACACACACAGCCCGGTGTGGCCAGAACACCCCAGAGGGCCTCGGGTCCCAGGCATGCCACCCTGTGCTGCTGCAGCGGGAGCACCAGGCCGCTTTCCTTACTCGGAGAGCTCAGAACCGCCCAGTGTTTCCGCTATCCCCTATCACACCCATTTCAACAGGGGGAAATTGAGTCGGATAGCAGGTGGTTCCCTCCTTCCATTTAAACACTGATTCTGTCAACAGGCTTCCAGAAACAAGGGCCTGTGGGAAATGCCTCTTCGTTGGTCAGAGCAGAAAAGAGTTCTTCAATGGGCCTGATGAGGGACACCAGCAACCCAGCACTGGGGAAGCAGACCTTAAGGCTAGCCTAGGCTACATAGTGAAACTCTCTTAAGAAAGAGAAGGGGAGAGGGAGTGAGGGAGGGAATGAAGAAAGAAAAAGAAACAAAGAAAGAAACAAAGAAACAAAGGAACAAACAGAAACAAAGAAAGAAGGAAAAAAAAAGGAAAAACCTGCACATTTTAATTTGTCTAAATGTAATACCAACTAATGAGTCAAAAAAAACTAAGAAAAATGAAAAGTAAAAAAAAAAAAAGCTGCCACAGGTCTCTGCCTAATACCACTGGCCCTTGGAAGCTGCCCCAGGCCCCTGTGAACACAACTAGAGAAGACAGAGGCAGCAAGATCAGCTTTAGGCTGAGCGAGGCTGCCTGGGCTTCCTTTCCATCCTCGACCTTCCCACGGTGTGGGCGTGCCTCGGTGCCACCTCGGGGACCTCCAGAACCTTCCTCCCGCAGAGGGACTGGTCATTTCCAAACTGGACACCAGCATCAGATGCCATTCAGCGTCCGGCTGCCTAAGCGTAGACACGTGGGGTTAGCTTGCTGGGCTGAGTGGCAGCGGGTCACAGGGTCCCAAGGACACTGCTGGAGTCAGGACTCCATGCTGACCCACAAAGATTCATGCCCCATCCAGCTCCTCCACCCGACAGGCCATGGGACCCCGTCGTCTCCCCCTAAGACCTCAACCCCTCCCCCCCAGCGTGGCCCTTGAAGCCATCTGAAGCTCAGAGCCTATCTTGAGCTGCTCTGAAGGCCTGGTTCCTCATCTACAAGCCTAAGAGCCCTCCCGGCCCTTTTTGTCTGGCTCCCACATTGTGGGGCGTCCAGTTCCAACCGACCCCCACCCCACCGCACAGGACCTCAGCTGTGTGCATCTGACTGGTCCCACCTGTCAGCCCCTCCCTGCTCACTTGGTTCCCTCACCCACCACAGCACAGTCGCTGGAAGCTCCCCACCCGCCCAGCACCACAGCTGGGACAGAAGAGGACCAGCTGCCTCGAAGAGGCTGGAGTCCCGGGGGAGCCAGCCATCACAGGACCCCCTGACCCTTTATGAACACACCATTGGTGCATGCTCCCCGCAAGGACAGATGTCCTGCTGACAGCTAGAAACGCATGCATGGACTTCAAGTTCCTAACTGTGAACTTCAGAAGAGCTGAAGAAATTCACTGGTGAGTATGCAAGGGGCAGATGATCGCTCCTTTTCTAAGGTGCTTTGCAGAAATCAGCTAAGGTGCTGGGGGGCCGGCTCGGCAGTTAAGGGAGAGTGCTGCTCCTGCAGAGGGCCCACATTCTGGTCCCGACACCCACATGGTGGCTCACAGCTGCCCCGAGCCACAGCTTCAGGGAGATTTGACACAAAGACTCAAAACAACAAAAACAAACAAAAAGCCAGAAAACAACAAGAACAACAAAAACAGCCAGGTACAGTACTGCATGCCTGTCATCCCAGAAGACTCTAGTTCTAGGCCAGCCAGAGCTACATGGTGGGACCTTAGTTCCGTAAACAAACAAGCAAGTCCTGTCCTTCTAGGAACCAGAGGAGCCAGCTCCGCCCAACTTGGGCTGGCCACCAACCCCAACCCTGCCCCATCTCACCTCCTTCTGGAGGTTTGTGGTCTTGGCTGCATTACTTTGGATGGACTTCTCGTCCTCTCTCCGCTTCCTCAGGCTTGGCTCCTCCATTGTTCCCCGCTGCTCGTTCCAGGGCCTGAAAGGAGACCCTGGACTTAATCTTGGGTCAGCGGCTGCAAGCAACATGTAAAGGCGACTTCATTTTGAGGTCTGTCTTGCGCCTGGGCATCTAGGTGATTGTGCGGTTGCCCCAAAGCAAGGAGCTGCTCCCGCTGAGCAAAGCACAGCCCTCAGTCTCCCCATGGATACGCTGTTCCTCCAGGAAGAAAGCCAGACACGGGCGCTGTCTGGGCTCCAGAGCTTCCCATACTGCCTCCCTCTTGTCCCTAGGACAGTTAAAATACACTCTTCTTCTTCTTCTTCTTCTTCTGTGACCCTGTGTCACTGTTTTTCAAAAAGATATTGTTACCCATTACATAAATAATAGCACATACCTGAACTCCCAGCACTGGGGAAGTTAAGGAAGGAAAATAGAAAGTTCAGGGCCAGCCTGGGCTATCCAACAAGTCAAGCCAATGTGGGATACATAGAAAGACTCTGTCTTTATAAAAGAAGAGAGAGAGAGAAATTAAACCAAAATCGAAACCTATTGAAATGTACTAAAGCAGGGATGGTTTGTTGGAATAAAACAGCTCAGGGTATATCAAGGCAATGGCCACACCTTCTGTCCAAAGCTCTTCTCTATCTAGACCCCAGGAAGGACAGAAGTGGGCCTTACCTTGGACGATGCTCACCCAGCTGACGACTGCCCAGCCTGCAACTACAACGCCAAGCTCCAGGAAGGGCCATGTCTTGTGCCCAGGCCTTGAAGAAGCCAGAAGGTACAGAGGTCAACAGAGGTAATGATTAAACACCCATCTCCCCCTTTTTTCCCTTCTAAGCAACAAAGCATAGACAGACAACATCTTACACAAAAACGCCCAGCTTGCCCCCAGAAATATTTTGGTTTTGTTTACCCGTGCCTAGATCATTTTTGTAAACTAAATAAATAAAAATAAATGGGTTCCTCCCTCCCTCTTCCAGTGAGGAGAAATCTCTTCAGAGGGTTAGGAATGGAGATTGTGCATACATTCCAGAATCATAACAGGTAAACTTTGGAACCAGCTCACTGGGCTGGCTGGGCTGGATGCTGAGTCTGTGATTTCCCTTCCCACATGTTTTTCTTCCTCAACCAGGAATTTCCTTCAGGGAGTTCTGGTGCCCAGAGGGAGCAGGCAGAAGGCTGGGTGAGGCCTTGACATCAAAGGTGGGGGCAGCGGGGGCGGGGACCTGGACAGGACTCACAAGAGGTATTCCATTTTCACCAGGACTCCAGCCAAGTGCCCTCAGGTTCCCATCACAAGCTTGGTCACTGGACCATAGAAGAGGAAAAGGAAAGCAAAGATGGCATCTGTTCCATCTTCACTCCCCAAGGGGAAACTGAGGCCCTGAGAGAGCCAGCAAAGGGAGGCTCTAGGGTCCAATCCTGTATCTCCAATCTGAGTGGGAGGAGCCAGAGGTCCCCTGGCTGGGCTCAATAGGAATCTTAGCTACTGGTCCCATGGGCCCTCATCTGGCACCGGGAATTGGAGCCTAAACTGCAGCTGATGTATCAAAATCCCCAAAGAGTGGGATGGGACCAAAGGGCAGGGCAGGAGAGGAGAGGGGGCCCAGATTTTTCATAGTTCTCTCTTAAGGCCTTCTCTTAAGGGATGCTAATTGTCCCAGAGCCAGAGATCTAAGAAGTCTGTTGCCTTGTTTGTTGTTGTTTTGGTTTGGTTTTGTGAAGGATTTTGCTTTGTTTTGTTTTGTTTTAAATGCCCCAAGCCCCTTCCCTGGATGCAGTTATCTACATTTTTCCACTAGTCTGGCTTTAGAGTGTAACAGTTTACCCTTCTTCTCTTCCTATGTCCTCCTCTGGACACCAGGAAGTCAGTCTGCTTGCTAGACGCTCAACTTGTCACTGTCCCAACTGCCATGCACCCCACCCCCCAACTGTCATCTTGTCCTCCCCCAGGGCAGTGAATCCTATTTTTGTCTCTGAGTCCTCCGGCTTGCCCATTTCTTGTGTTTATAAACCTGAACATGGCTGCCAGTGAGGGTGCAGAGGTCAGCCTCGAGGTTTTCTGTTCTGGTGTGTGCTGAGTCTATTGTGGAGTCAGAGGTCAGCTTTTGGCTCAGCAGGGAAGAGCTCTTGCCACCAAGCCTGGCAACATGAGTTTGATCCCTGGGACCCACGTTGTTTTATTTTGAGACAGGGGTCTCTTGCTGACTTGGTGTCTGTGCATGAGGCTGGGCCAGCTGGTATTTAGTCCAGGCATCCACTTGTTCTCGGCTTCCCTGGGGGTGGGAATTGAACTCAGACCCTCACACCTGACAGCAAAACAGCTTCTGCTCTCTTCCAAATTAGCCAAACTTTCTCTCCTGTCAACCTCCAAGAAGACTGTCTTGGGGGTAGGGGTGGGAGCAGGGAGAAAAAAAGAAAAAGAAAGAAAGAAAGAAAGAAAGAAAGAAGGAAGGAAGGAAGGAAGGAAGGAAGGAAGGAAGGAAGGAAGGAGAAAAAAAAAAACCCTGTCACCTCTTCTCTTGCCTCACACTTACATACATGCGCACACACGCACGTGCGCACGTGCACACACACACACACACACACACACACACACACACACACGGGATTGGTCTTGTACACTGTGTGTTTAGATGCTGATTTCTGTATCCCGAGAATTTCCTGTATTAGTGTTGTGTAAAGAATGCTCCCCAATTATCTGAGTGGTTAATAAAGAAGCTGAAGAGCCAATGACCAGGCAGAGGAGACAGTAGGCAGGACTTCTGTTCCCAGTGTGAGGGTCTCAGATAGAGAGAGAGGGAGAGAGGGAGAGGGGAGAGGAGGAGAGAAGAGAAAGAGGAGAGCAGAGCAGGGGAAAGCAGAGGAAGAGAGAGGAGAGAAGAGGAGTGGAGGGGAGAAGAGAAAGAGAAGGTTGCCTGGCCATGTGGGGGAGGTCGCCATGGAGACAAGGATGGAGCAGGGGTGAGACTAGGAGACAGGTAAGGGGGCACATGGTTGAGAGGTAGCCAGGCCAGCACAGAAGGGTCAGAATACATGAGAATCTGCCCAGCTATAGTGCTTTAAAGCTTGTTATAAATGTATCAGGTCTCCAACTCATTATTTGGGAGCTAGAGAGGACAAGAACCTTTAATTCAACACCTGCTCGAGATGTATTTGACACAGTTGGTTCGTTTCTAAAGAGCATAGATCTCTTGGGAAAAGTTCAAGGTGTTTGCACAGATGTGCTCTAGCTGTGCTACGATGTTGCTCTTGATTTCAATGTTTGGTGCTGAATGAGTTACCAAAGGTCATCAGAACTCACTTTATGAGTCAGTGGCAAGTATTGGCAATGAAGATGCTGCCCCAGCAGTTACATGATGAAAAGCATCATAAATTCTGTCCATTTTGTTTGTTCATTTGCTTTGTTTTTCCAGACAGGTTTGTTTGTGTGTGAGGTGTGTGTGTGTGTGTGTGTGTTCCTAGAATTCAGTGTGTAGATGGGACTAGCCTGGAACTACACAGATCCGCCTGCCTCTGCCTTCAGAGAGCTGAGAGTAAAGGCGTGCTCCACCACCGCCCACCAGGATCCTGCCAATTTTGTAGAGGTACGTACTTTAAACAGTCAGCTGTTTTCCTAACTGCGAATGAGTCGGAAGTGCCGAACAAAGCCCTGCTATTTCATACTAAAGTGAGATGTTTGTCGAGAGGAAAAGTTTGAACACTTGTTTTGAGCTTTGTGATGAACTCAAATCTTTTTTTTTTTTTCTTTTTTTGGCTTTTTGAGACAGGGTCTCTCTGTGTAGCCTTGGCTGTCCTGGACTCACTTTGTAGACCACGCTGGCCTCAAACTCAGAGATCTGCCTGCCTCCGCCTCACCGAGTGCTGGGGTTACAGTCATGCATCACCATGCCAGGCTTCAAAATGTTTTTTTAATCAGACAGCAAGACCAAAGTTCAAAGCATCTCTTCAGCGATAAAAGTGAGTTGCAGAAAATAGTTTACTTGATTGCCATCTTGAATGAGTTAAACTTAGCACTGCAAGCACCAAATGCAACGTGCCTTGATTTGTCTGAAAAGATACCATCATGTGAGACCTGATAAACTAGGGTCAGATGGAAGGGGAGGAGGACCTCCCCTATCAGTGGACTTAGTGAGGGGCAGGGAGATGAGGGAGGGAGGGGGGGATTAGGAGAGAATGAGGGGGGCCTACAGTTGGAATACAAACTGTATCCTCCACCCTGACCCCCCATGCCCTTAACGAAGGGAGCAGAACTAAAAAAGCTAGCATCAGCACCTTTAGAACACACCAGTAAATAAACTGTAATTAATATTAAAAATATATATACACATTAAAAAAGATACCATCATAGCAAATGAAACCTCAGCTTTGGCAAAATAAACTGAATAAATAAAATTTATATGTTGCCTACCTTATCTGCCTTCTTGGAAGAACAGGACATTGAACCAGATAAAATCATGTTGATCATTTCTGTGAAAGAACACCTGCTCGTGCTTGCAGACAAAATCTCGTGGTATTTTCCTGATCCACCTGAAGCCCCCTTCCTGCACTCACCAGAAGCCCATTCGCAGCTGAACGTCCCTGAGACAGCTCAAGGGGAGCCCACAGCTGACTCACAGCGATGCTGAGCTCTCCACAAGGCCAGCTGCACAATTCTGGAGCAAGTGTTTGCAGCCGTGCCCTGTTCCAAGAGACTGCTGTGCCTTCTTCCATTCCCAACAACTTATCTCTGTGAAGCGGGTTTTTCCAGCTTGTTGGTTATCAAGTCCAAATACAGAAGGAGACTCGTGGAATTGCAAAGGCCGCCCTGAGAACTTCTGATCTGGTGGGAAAGAAGCAACCTCAACCTTCCCCCTGACGTTGGCTTTTCACGCATACTGTCCCAAAATAGTTTACTGAGCAATATACTGAGCAAGGTAGTTTACTGTTGTTAGATTATTGCTGCTACCCGTGCTTCAGGACAAAATTTCATTTATTTGCAATGAGAAATAATTATTTCAGCTGGGCAGTGCTGGCACACACCTTTAATCCCAGAACTCAGGAGAGAGACGCAGGCAGATCTCTGTGAGTTCAAGGCCAGCCTGGTCTACAAAGTGAGTCCAGGACAGCCAAGGCTACACAGAGAAACCCTGTCTCAAAAAACCAAAGGGGGAAAAAAAAGACAAATATTTCACAGTATTTAATTACATAATGTTTTGTGATTAATTACTATGCTTTAATTATGTTCAATTTGTAACAACAAAAATATATCCTGCATATTAAATATTGACATTATGATTCATACACTAGCAAAATTAATTATGAAGTAGCAATGAAAATAATTTTATAGTTGGGGGTCACCATAACTAAGGAACTTTATTAAAGGGTCGCAGCATCAGAAAGGTTGAGAACCACTTGGCTAGGGAGCTTCTTCAGAGTCCATCATTTCTTAAGTTTCTGCTAAACCAGTCTCTCTGCTCTCCCCTCCGCACCACTGTCACTGTGTAGCCCAGGGGGACCTAGGACTCTGCTCTACCTGCCTGTGTCTGGGATTACAGGCAGGCGCAACCACGCTGCTCTGTTCTGCAGTGTCCTGCTCTTCTCTTTCCCCACAGCAAAACTCCTTATAATGCAACTATCTTCCCACCTCCCCAGTAGTTCACATAACCTGTGTGTTCTGAGACTGTCTTAACGTTGGATAAACTCTGTTCCCCAGTGGCCCCCTGACATGTCAATAAAGAAGCTTATAGCCAGTCAGTGAGCAGGGGAGAGGCTAGGGCTA